TAATGGAAATAATATAGAGCCAAACCTTTTCAATTATACTGCTGGCTACATGCCTTAAAAGGGGGATAGGATGGTCCGTTTCAGGTCATCAGAAAGAGTTTCTTGGCAACCACCTTTCTAGGTCAGCTGTCTTAACATGTACAGCAGTGCAGTGTACATGGTGCTTTGTTGTTGCCTAAGAACTCAAGCTCAGAAATACCGGTAGTTGGAAGCAGATTTACAGGAGCAATTACAGGGTGTCCTTGTCTTGTATTTTCTGTTATGGATTGCACCAGTAGAGGCTAAGCCAATTTCGTTGTATGCATGATGTACAATGACAATAAAGGCTATATTATTATTATACAATTGTATCACAGCGGCCAGTTGTTTAGCCGGATTTGGCATTGGTTACTAGTCGGGCCCCACCCAGGGGCCTAGGACGTCGAAACGTATTTTCGTAATATGCGTGCAGATCCCAGCAGTGCAGCTTTTTGCATTTGACTGATGGTGATTTTGTCAACTTTTAACTGTTTTAAATGTAATTCCAGTGCTTTTGGAAAAGCACCCAGTGTGCCAATTACCACTGGAATTACCACTGCTGGTTTGTGCCATAGTCGTTGAATTTCGATTTTTAAGTCCTGGTATTTTGTGATTTTTTCATGTTCCTTCTCGGCGACCCTGCTATCACCTGGTATTGCGATGTCTATGATTGTGACCTTATTTTTCTCAACCAGTGTGATGTCTGGTGTATTATGCGCCAGTATTTTGTCGGTTTGTATACGGAAATCCCACAAGATCTTGACCATCTGATTTTCGGTGACTTTTTCAGGCTGATGTTCCCACCAGTTTGTTGCTATTTTAATATTATAATTTTTGCACAAATTCCAATGGATCATTTGTGCTACTGAATTGTGCCACAATTTATAATCAGTTATTATTATTATTATTATACAATTGTATCACAGCGGCCAGTTGTTTCGCCGGATTTGGCATTGATTATTATTATTATTGCATGATTAATCTTTGGTAAGATTCACAGCCTTTGGGGCTGGTTGGTAGCTCAACATCTCGAGTCCTAACCAAGAAGCTAGGAATTGTTAAGGTAACGTCGAAGGACATAAGCTGTTCCAAGTAGGGTGGTTTTTTATAGAATCAGTATGTTCAAGTCTGATAAATTTAAAATTTCCAAAAAGCGAGGTAGAGAACCTTAACATTGCAAATAATTATGCTAGAAATTCAAAAATTACAAATAAGTACAGAAAACATTGAAAAGAGATTTGAGATTATAGAACAAAGAACAGAAAGAATGGAGGGAAGATTTGAGAATATTTTCAAAGCTATGATGAAATTTAAGGATAGAGTTCAAAAAATTGATGGAAAATATGAACAAAGTGATAAGAAAATTGTTGACATTGACAGTAAAATTGAGCGTGGAGGGAAATGATAGGAGTGGAATATTGAAAGGAGAGGTTGACGAACTGGAACTCTATCTCAGACTTCAAAATATGGAAGAAGAAAAGGGAGGAAATCTGGCAGAAATAATGAGAAAATTTTTGACAGAAGCATAACTAAAGGCAAGCTGATGGAAGGAGCAGATGGAGGGTTTCGAGTCTTTACAAGATATGCAATGAACAACAAATTGCCAAGAGAAGTCCACATAAGACTTTTCAAGAAAACAATTAGAATCCAAATTCTATAAATGGCAAGAGATATAGGACTGCACTACTACTGGAAGTGCAGGATGATGAAATGAAATGCCATAATAAAAATTAAATTAAACTTTGTTAAATTTTGAGTATTATGTATAAGAAAAAGTAATAATAGTTTATAGTCAAATAAATGATTAACAATGATAATGATGCATATATATATATATACAATAGATTGATAATATGAAATTTTACATAAATTGTAAGTGAGGACTATAGAGATGATGTTGAAAAGCTTTGTTATAAAAGATAAATAATTCTATATCGAATAGAATATAAAGATGGAATATTACTGGAGGATTCCAGGATGATGTAATGAAATGCCATAATATAAATTTATTTTAAATTTAGAATATTTCACATAAGGATGTAATAATAGCTATAGTCAATGAATGTTTAATAATCATAACAATTGTATACATATATATTAGATTGATGATATGAGACTATGTAAATTGCAAGTGAAGACTATTGTGAGGAGGCTCAAAAGCTTGGTAACCAATTGACATACTGTAGGAAATTCAAGGATGGTTTTTATACTTTGTGTGTGTATGTTTGTTTGTTTTATGATTGTTTAAAAATAAAAACTTTTATTAAAAAAAGGTAGTCTGGACAAGATAGCTTTATTTAATAAAATTTACCTTAATTGTACAACATCCGCTGTGATTTAGGTAATTTGTATAGTGGTGAAAAATAATGCAATTGCACAATTTATACGTATTAACGCTACATTGTAGTTCTACATTTAATATATAATAAATATTTTTTCCCCATAATTTTTTTTAAACTAAGCATATACTTGGAAGTATATTTAGTAAATATGGGGAAATGGACAAATCTTAAGATACAGTGGGTGGAACTCTGTTGCATCAAATGTATGCTTGTAAAAGAAAAAATGGCTGTGTATAAGAATGCGTTTTTGTTATATGGAAATGAGTGTTGGATATTATCAAGAGAAATAAACTAACTTGAATCTGGTAACGAGAAATGTGGGTAGTAGAACAAGAAGAGGTAGAGTCAAGAAGGAATTGGTGCTGAATATAAAAATTAGAGATCAGTCTGAAGGGAACAAATTGAGGTTGTTTGTCAGGCTTCCCAGTGTACTGTTTCTGATAAAACAAGATTTGGAATCAAGTCAAGCCATTCCAAATCGAAAATCATAGCAAAATATATTTTGAAATAAACAGATCTTTAAAAAACAACAGCAAGACTATGCCTTTTAAAACCCAGTCCTTCAAAATCAATATGTTTCAAATCTCCTGCTGAGAAATGAGAATGAGTGACTCATACACAGACAGAGCAGCTGGGATGAATTAGGTTATTACAGGAAATCAATAGGAAGTTATTGAAATGAACCATCAAGTTAAATTGAGTCCATTGTATTTCCTAAAGAAACAGTTACTGTACAACTGTTTTATTGCATGTCGCGAATCTGGGGGAGGATTATACTGAGGCATGGAATTATACTTGGGAACATGTATGCTGATTTTGGTTATGTTTTCAATAATTGGATAGTGACACAGGAAGTGTTGGTTTTTCTAAAAGGATCTGAGAAGTTGCTGCTTGGCTTGGAAAGGCTTGGGTGGATACCAGAGTTCCACTATTGAATTGCACATTGAATTCCAGAAAGCAAAAAACCCCTTCCACCCACATTTATTTCAAAGCAGTTTATTATATTGCCATCCTGCTCTGCATTTTTTAATTTCTCCAGAATGCCATGCAATGAAACAGGGTAATGACCTCTTGGATCTCTGAGTCTCAACTGCTAAAAGCCACATTCCATTTTGCCAGGAAAAATACGTTTTAATTATATATAGTAGGAAAAGCTGCATTATATATAGTAGGAAAAGCTGCATATTCCTACAATATATATTAGGAAAAGCTCCTTTTGCAAGGAATAGCAAAAGTTAGTTTCCTAACCCAGACAACCCATGTCCATACATGTTAGATTCTTATATTTTTCTTCTTTTGAAAACAAGGCATACACGCCTTTTTAAAAAACAGGTATTTTAGCAGTTGGCAGCACATTAAGTTAATATTTTCATATTCAGTCATTATAACAAGTCAGTAACCTAAATATGAGGTGGAAACCCAGCTATTATGGTTCGGTATTGCGAAAAGTAGGCTACTGTAGGTTGTTTAGCAAAATAGAAAGGAAATATTTACTTATACAATATGTGACTTCAGTCCCTGTTGCTGTTATTAGTTTTTGACTTGGAAAGACGGATTCCATCCTCTGCTAAAAAAAGACTTGGAGAGCTGTTCATTTTAATGTGCGTTAGGCCCTTACAATGGAACACTGCAGGCTGTGAAATTGTGCACATCAAGTTTATACATATCTACAGTATTAATCTGTTTAGTCCTGCTAATTAGGAGAAAAGATATGTTCTTTGGACACTCACTATATACACTAGACAATTTTATACACTGTACACAGTAAACTTTGAGAATTACCCCATTTTCTTTAAGTTCATTGTGGCAGGAATTGGAAGCTTACTTAAAAAAGAAAAATAACTGAGATTCTCAAGATATTCTTTGCTCAGTGATTGTTTAGTAATGAAATATGGAATGTCCGGCTTGTATGCATTTAAATTTTTTATTTTACAGTTTAAAATTAAGATTTTAAACCTGCTCAACTTAATTCCAATGTTCCAAAATGAACCCATATACCTTGCCAAGGTATAGCTCCAAAGAAAGCAAAAAACCCTCCTTATAGTTGCATTGGAATTCCACCCTTTTGTTCCGCCTGCTAATGTTATCTGCTAATGTTATCTTGGACAACTGAACTAATTTCCTTCCAGTTTTGCCAACCCTAATCTCCAATTGAAAATTTCTGTTTTGTTATTTGGGATGACAAAATTGCATCTGTGGGCCTGCAACTTTGCTGTTAACAGGAAGGCCCATCAATTTCTATCTTCTGTGGTTAAGGTGATTTTGGAGCTCCATAGTGCCTTTGCGCTATTCTTCAGCCCTTTTGCAATTGTGGTTTACTTTCTCTTCTTTTCTCACGGAACTCATGCATGAAGCCAAGGTTATTGCAATGGAAGAGAGCAAGGAATTCAGGTCAGTTTCTGTCTTTGCTTATTAGTTGGCTAGTTGGAGCCAAGGCTGGTCAGGGCAATGCTCTCTATAACTGTGTTGAGTAATTGATCAGAGATTATTATGAAGAATTTGAGATTCTTCAGAAGTTGCAACTGTGATCAAAGTAACCAGATATGTCTTACTTGCCAGTTAGATGAAATCCTATTGAGTGGAGCAGATCCGTCTTTCTCTTGAGCTTAATGATAATTCCCCCTTTTTTCTTCTTTTCAGTATGCACAGGGACCGATATGAAACTGCAGCCGCCCTCAAGTCCAGAAAACCATCCAGACACCCTCCGTTGGCTCTATGAGCATTGTCAGGTTGTGCAGGGCAATTTGGAGATCACATACCTACCAGCAGATGTGGATACATCCTTTCTCAAAGTAGGTACAGCTTTAATGTGAAAAATGATGGTGTTTCCAAACTTCTTTGTTTTATTAGTTTGAGAATGGGGAAAAGAAGAAATGCTATATGCTTCCACTTAGCTGTCCCTGCCCTTAGAATTTAAGAAGGTGACATTAATGACTGGAAGTTACAAAAACATTGTCTACTAGGATTGTATTAGATCAACTCCAAATATTCCCCACATTTAATAAAGTATAGCTAAATTGAATTCAGTTGTGCATATTTTTATTTCTCTCTAAAAGGGCTTGAGTCTCATGCCTGCAGATGAGCACAATAACAAGATGTTGTTTTGGAGCCCAAGAATTTGAATTTTATTGCTTACGCTGGGTTCAGTTGTCCATAAGCTAGTTTACTTTCTGTGACATGCTAAGCCATAATGAAATTCATTATTCATTATTAAAATTTCAATTAGGCAAATCATTATTAAACAAAATATACCAAAGCATAATATGTGAACCTAGTCTTTGTGTCAAACATAAATTACAAACCAGAAAAGTTGGCTTCAAGCAACACCTACAAACTTAGAATAGAAAGAGTACGTGAAAACAAAGATATAGACAGGTATAGGTAAAAGGTGAATGAAAATATAAATACAAATCATCTTCCATTTTCCCCCTATATGCTCTAATGCTGAGTGCACATTATACTCATTATTTATATTAACCATGGTTTTATCAATAAGCTACAGTTTTAGCAATATATCATGATACCTTCACAACCAACAATTTGTAAATCACAAACTCTAGGTTTACTGCACTGAGCCCAAATATAGTGCAGTAAGCCCAAATATGCATTTTGAGTAGGACTCGCCATGTTCCCCAAGTGTAGCTATTGCAATTTACAAGTTGTGGGTTATGAAGGAATAACAGTATGGTGTACACATAGAACAGTGTAATTAAAAGCTTTCTGTTCTCTGTGTGCAATATACTGTGATTTGGCTCAGGGAAGATTTGGGTCTGTTGGGTCAGGGAATCTGGTCTTCCAGCTATTGCACTTCAGTTTTCATCTGACCCTGCCAGTATAGTAGAGTTCAAGGAGGGTATTATGGCCCCTCAGCTCTGTTGGCCATATCTTCACCATGTTCTTACTGGGTGATCTTTTGCAAATCCAAGCATCCTGAAACATTTATCTTTCATTTTTGTCTCTCTGCTTCTCAGGACATCAGAGAAGTCCAGGGATATGTGTTAATAGCCAAGAATCACATGCGCCATTTGCACCTGAACAGCCTCTTGATCATTCGTGGGACACAGCTCTATGAGGAGAAGTATGCACTGGCTGTCCTAGACAATGCTGATCCCAGTGGAGACGTGGGGCTGCAGGAACTGGGCATGTTGAAGCTAACAGGTGTGTTATGATGGGCTGGATAGTTTCCAGGAATAGGAGTAGGAGTAGGAGTAGGAATAAGAAAAGAATAGAATAGAATAGAATAGACTTTGGAGGTCTTCTAGTCCAACCCACTGTTCGACCAGGAGAACCTACACTATTTCAGATAAGTGACTGTCTAGTTTCTTCTTAAAAACTCTAGTGATGGAACATCCAAGATTTCTGAAGGCAAGCTGTTCCACTGGTTAATTGCCCTCACTGTTAGGAAATTTCCATTGTTTCTTGTTTCTTCTTAATTCCAGGTTGCTTCACTCTTTGATTAGTTTCCAACCATTGTTTCTTGTCCTGCCCTATGATGCTTTGTAGAATAATTTGACCCCTTCTTCTTTATGGCAGTCCCTCAAATACTGGTATCATGTTGCCCCTAATTCTTTTCTTTACACTAGCCAAACTCAAATCCTGCAGCCATTCTTCATATGTTTTAGTCTCCAGGTCTTTAATCATCTTAGTTGCTCTTCTCTGAACTTTTTCCAGTCTCAACATCTTTTTTGTAGTATAGTGACCAAAATTGGATGAAGTATTCCAGGAGTGGAATATGCAAGAGGCAGTGTTTGATGCCATGTACAAAATTATCCAAACAAAATTATTTGCATTTAAAACATAAAGGCAGGAAATACTGTTGGTGGATTGCTGCCTTAAAAGAATGTGTGAATTAGAATCTTTGATGGATTTTAACAAATCAGATTCCAGTTCACATATACGTAATAAGCGACAACTGGTATAAATATTCTTATTGTTAGGAGAAGCCAAAAGTCATTACTTTTGCTGTTCTAACCGGGCCTAAAGTGTACTACAGTGTTTATTTATTAAATATTTTATGAAACTGCCATTATTAAAAAAAGAATTTTTAGCCCTAGGAGCAACTTCAGTTCTGTAAAAATACTATACTATTTCTAGTTGATAGCTAAAAGCATTTATATCTGGCTCAGTGATTGATTGATGGTCTGCTCCTATATCCCCACACAAAGCCCCCTTGAAGATTTAGAAGATTTGGCATCATATTTCAGCCTGAACTATAAGGTGGGATGTTTGTTGCTTGAATCTTACCTGTGCCATGAATTTACATTGCTTGTGCCATGAACTTATAAGTATGCCTTAGGCACACTTTCCTCAGCATTGGTACATTGTGTTCATAATGTGCCAAACTCTTAGCTAACTTTAGGAAGTGTAATACAATTTTATCCACAGTTTGTAATACAGTTCCAGCTCAGTTGTGACAACAGGTTGAACTTTCTAATAGACAATGTGTGGTTTTAAAATAATGAACGAAAACAGACTGTTAACTCATTTCCCTTTTTCTGATCCTTCCTTTCCTCCTGATTCCTTTCAGAGATCTTAAAAGGTAGTGTGATTATAGAGAGGAACCCCCAGCTGTGCTTCCAAGAGACCATACATTGGAAAGCTATCTTCCATAAGTATAACTCGCAAAACTATACAGAGATCAGCAGCCATCGCCGTAGGAACTGTAAGTATAAGTATAATTGGTTAGGCTCTGGGCTTCACAGGGAAATTATGTGCAGAAGTAAATCCTTGTTTTAAGGATGCTAGGGAATTATTTAATATCTACCAGTTTCTTCTGAGTTTGAAAATTTGGTTTTTCATCAGTACTGTTTATTCTCTGGTAAAATTAAGAAATCTTACTCTGACATAAAATGAATTTCATAGCTGCTGTTAGTAATAGAAGTTGGGTTATGTTTGTTCTTATCTGGCGCTAATTCTGAACTTTCTAGATATTATATCTGTGTTTTTAGTTGTTGTGATTTGTACATGTAGCATGCCCATAATAACTGGAATAACAAATAAAACAAAGATTTATAGACCCCATACTATCTGTGCACTGGATTTTTCTTTTCCATTTTATGCTTCCCTGTAAATCTTTCTACAATCTGTGAGGTTTTGAATGAGCTGTATTCTTTTATTACCTCTAGGTAGTGCTTGGCTTGCAAAGCTATTACAACTGGAATTATTGTCTTTAAGTGATGCAGTCATAAAGGATTATGTCACATGACCATGTCATTTAGCAATGGCAATTCCAGAAATCCAGTTGCCCTATTAAGTGAAGTCTGCATGGATCATTAAATGAGGATCTCACGTGACTGCAATTTTATGCCAGTTTCCCCATTGACTTTGCTTGTGGGAAGCCAGTAGAGAATGTCATGACCTTGTGACTGTGAGGATATTGTGGCACCAGAACTATGAGGAACCATCATAAATATTATTTGTTCAGTGCTGTTGTAACAATTGATTGTAACTCAACCATTTCTCTTTATTTTCCTTCCTATTCCTACGGTATGTTCACAGTTCATCTATTCAAAATGTCAGAACGAAAACCAACCCCACCATCAGTATTCTAGGAATTCCTCATTTTTGACCTGGCTGATGTCATTTTGTCAGCCTAATAAGTCAATATGCATTATCTAAACTTTTAGATGTTAGAGATATGTCTGGATTCTATGCCCAAATTGCTGAAATTCACATGAGGAAAAGCCAAATTTTGCATTCAGTATTATATTAGCAAATTTAAATATTTTCTCTTTAGTTTTATATAATGCCTTCTGTAATATTTTCTGCTTTGTGTGATATATTTTGGTTTATTCACAAGGAATATTGAAACTCTGCTCTTCTCCATCAACAATCATATTCAGCTGTTTCTGTCATCCGAGACTTGAGAAAATGTGTCTTACACACACCCTGCTTGCTATTACAAACGTAAAGACTAGAAACTTAGTTTTTTTTTAAAAAATGAAAGCAGATATTCTTAGGAAGCCAAATCTAGTACAACTGGATTCTGTGTCCTGGCAAAATTACAACATACACAACTCTTTGCCAAGTTCATTTTTGCAGGCTTCCCAGCTGAGCACATCTGGTATCTCACAATTGTTACTACTCCAATTTTGCAAGCTTCTTCCTCCTAGATGTAAGATTTTTAAAAATCTGTTTTCTTTCCCTCTAGGCCCTGACTGCAGCCAAATCTGCCCACATAATAACCACTGCTGGGGAGAAGCAAAAGGGAGCTGTCAAATATGTAAGAAGGAATATCACTGCTTGGGATCTGATGGAAAAATACAACATCTCTAATGCATGCAAGGAAATTTCGGACAAAATTTCTATTTTCAAAATCCAAGATCCTAGGGCTTAAAAAAAAAAAAGCACTTGAAATGTGTTACTGAAGTGATCTTAAAATGTAAGGGGCTGTATAGTGCTGGAGTCTAAGCCAAAGATTTAGTGCAGCGCAAGAACACTACTGTTCCCCTGGATAATTGGCTCCATTATCAAGTTACTATTAGGAAGGTTTTTCTTAAATTTACATTAAATATGTAAATCTTCTTGTAATATAAGTCCTTTATGTGTTCTGTTGTCTGAGGACAAATAAGGACAAATCTTGAGCAACTTCTGTAGGATAACTCTTCAGATAACTAAAGTGTGTTATCATATTCTCCTTTTCCTCACCATCCTTTCTTTTCAGATTGTTGTGCTTCTCAGAATCTGTTTCCCAGTCAGCATGTTAATTTGGCAGTCATAACCCCAAGACACTGGAGGAGAAAGTTGCTTTAGAGCACTGATGGCTAACCTTTTCGATGCAGCGTGCTGAAAGCACGCATGCACGTACCCATAATGCAATGCATGCGCAATCCCCTGTGCACCCTGCACATGCATGCACAACCCTCTACATGTGCCCCACACGTGTGCATGCTTCCCTGTGCCCCACGCATGTGCATGCAAACCCCCACATGCCCTCCACCCTGCACATGTGCATGCAACCCCTGCACATGTGCATGCAACCCCTGCACATGTGCATGCACCCCCACGCTCCCCACTCCCTGTGTATGTGTGTACGACTCCTCCATGCTCCCCTGCGCATGCACGCACATCTTCCACATGCAGCCCATGCATGCGCGGAAGAGACCCAAAAACCATCTTGCTGGCGGGAGGCATGCACACATGCACAAGCGTAGTGGAGCTGAGCTGAGCTGATGGCTTGCATGCTCGCAGATAGGACTCTTGTGTGCCATCCCGGCTTTAGAGGGTGAAAGGGTTCCGTTATTTGAGGCAGGGGGAGGAAGGGAGAGCTGTGCTTCTGCCTAGTGGTATCCTGGCTGCCTGGGAGTTCAGTTTTTTCTATTCTCTCAATTATTTTCCTTATGGTCAAAGCTTCCTTGTCTGTACTGGGTGTCCCTTATCGCCTCTAATAACCTGAGGGTCAGTGCTGCTCATGCTGTGGTTTCCTACAGTGGTCTCAGCAGCTGTTCTCTCTCGCCTCCTTCATCATACAGTGGTTTCTGGTTTAAGATGAGCCTGGACTGAAGTCCTTTCTTCCTGCAAAAGTATCTGAGAGCAGGGACCTCTGCTTGTATGGGAGAGAGGTAGAATGACCAGTTTCTTCATTTTTGGCTCTCTGACAGTGACAAGTACAATCTGTGCCAGCAGCTGTCCAAGGTGCAAAGGAGGACACCCAACAGACTGTTGCCATGAACAGTGTGCAGCAGGCTGTACAGGACCCAAGCATTCTGATTGCCTGGTGAGTGGGGATCTTTTGGAGGCTTCTCCCCCAGCCTTGAGATGTCCACTTCATTCAACAGATTGCTACTTTCTGATTTCAGCAAAGTTGACATTTGTTAATTCACAACCGCCAGTATTCCTGCAAGGAGCTAAACGTAACCTCCCTTCGCATATGAATAAACACATCTGGAAACTGTGGGTTAGATTGGCTGTGATCAAAAGAGTATGGATCCAGTAGTGAAGATTCTAGCCAGAAAACACTGGTGTTGTGTTCAGTGACTTTTAAAACTCCATGCTGTGAGAAAGTATGTTGAGTTCTCTCTTTGTTTTTAGAATAGAATAGAATTCTTTATTGGCCAAGTGTGATTGGATACAAAAGGAATTTGTCTTTAGTGCATATGCTCTCAGTGTATGTAAAAGAAATGAAAGATACATTCGTCACAAATTATAAGGTACAACACTTAATGATAGTCATAGGGTACAAATAAGCATTCATACTAGGAAACAATATAATACAATACAGTCATAAGTGGGAGGAGATGGGTGATAGGAACTATGAGAAGATTAATAGTAATAGTAATGTATACTTAGTAAATAGTTTGACAGTGTTGAGGAAATTATTTGTTTAGCAGAGTGATGGCGTTCGAGAAAAAACAGTTCCTTTTCACTTTAATGACTGGATATATTATACTACGTCAAGTCTTGTTGAATCTAATGGTATTAGGATTGGAGAAGCTGAAGTTGATATCTTTTCAGCCAATGGGGAGAATGATTTTGTCCAGTCCCTCTTAATCCAGCCTCATAGGATGCAGCGTGCTGTGTTTGCATATAGTCAATAAAGAAGCTGTTACATTTAATAATTGTAATATTTGGATGCTTCCTTTGGCAAGCAAAATTTAGCTGTATACATACTCTAGAGTATTTCCCTTAACTAGACCAATGTTAAAACCAATATTTATATTAATGTGCTATTAATAAAGGTCCTGCTATCTTTACCTGATGAAAAGCAATGACTGTCTCTTGGGGCACAATTTTTCTTACTTTTCCTCCGAGAGATGAATAGGGCAGGACATCTCCTAGACTGTTCCTTAAATTTTGCCTGCTGTTGTATTTATTTTTAAGTGCTACGCCTTCCTGTTTTTCCAGGCCTGCCTCCACTTCAACCACAGTGGCATATGTGAACTGCACTGTCCACAGTTAATGAACTACAATCCAGATACTTTTGAAATTATGCACAACCCAAATGGACGCTACACTTTTGGAGCAACTTGTGTCCCTCATTGCCCTTGTAAGCCTCTATTCATGGATAGGTTTGCTTGGAGTGAGGGGAAGATAGTTGGGTCCTATATAGACTGTACTTCTAATCACTTTCAACCATTTGATATATTGGTATGTGAGATTTCCCACTTCTTTTGGAGCACCCATGCATTCATACAGTTATCAAGATGAATTATAACGTTACCTTTTTCTTGGCTTGATAGATTCCTGTGCACAGAATTTTAAAACTAGTTTTCCCATTTCTCATGACAGATAATTACTTGGCTGCAGAGGTAGGCTCTTGCACTCTGGTGTGTCCTCAGAACAGTCAAGAAGTGAGCAGGGGTACCACACAGAAATGTGAGAAATGTGACAGTTCCTGCCCAGAAGGTAAGAACTGAAAATGGCTGACGTGTAAAAAGATTCTCAATTTTTCTGGACACAGCAAAATGTTATTTCTCTGGATTATCCTTGATTTTTTTCTCTCAATTTCGATAGAGCTATGGAAAGAATGTATGGGTTTTGGCTTTATGCTTGTCCAACTCCAAGCACGCGTGACCCGTCAAAACCGCGGTAGACAAAAGCGCGCTCGACGAAAGCGCGTACCTGACGTCATCAGCAGCGCGACGAAAAAAATTAAAAATAAATTAAATTGAAATTAAAATAAAATTAAAGCAAGCCGATTCACATAAAGGTAAGGGTTAGGTTTAGGGTTAGGGTTAGGGTTAGGTTAAGGGTTAGGGTTAGGTTTAGGGTTACATTAAGCGTTAGGGTTAGGTTTAGCGTTAGGTTAAGGGTTAGCGTTAGGTTTAGGGTTAGGTTTAGGGTTAGGTTTAGGGTTAGGTTAAGGGTTAGGTTTAGGGTTAGGGTTAGGTTTGGGGGGGTTAGGGTAAGGTTTTCGCTTTAATTTTAAATTTACCGCTCACAGTGCGATGTTTTCGTCACGCTGTGATGACGTCACGTACGCGCTTTCGTCGAGCGCGCTTTTGTCTACTGCGGTTTTGTGGTGGAACCCAAGCACGTTGGCTTAATTGTAAATTTCAGTCTCCATGTGTGGCATTCATTCTTATTGTTTTAGAGTTCAGTCATCTCAATAATTTGCTACCGTCTGTGGAATGCAGAGGATTCACTTACATATTGTTATGCCTCCAGAAAAGGCCAACCTACCAACCTGTTCTTCACTGGCTGTAAAGACCAGAAGTTAAATTGTGATAGGCTGCCCTACACTGTTGGTTTAATATGATGTGTAGATAAATATATGCATCCTTTTTTTTGCTTTAGTTAATTCTACACCACCTTCTCTCTATTTTAGTCTGCTATGGTTTAGGAATGGATTTCCTGAAAGGCGTTCGGGCTGTCAATGCCTCTAACATCCACCACTTTACTGGCTGTACCAAGATCTTTGGCAGTTTAGCCTTTCTGAAAGAGACCTTTGCAGGGTAGGTAACCAAGTCTTAGAGTCAGAAGGCTGTATCAGTTTCTGGGATGCATCTGTGTAGTTCTGGGTAATGCATCCCAGGTTATGCATTGGGAAGCCTCTGAGCAAGCCCAGTAAATTAGAGCTGCAATTAAGCTTTGTTATTTTTTAAAGCCAGGGCCTATTTTGTTTCTAGGTGAGCTTTTTAAAGGATAAATAACCATCCAGAGTTATTTACAGAAATAGCAGCTTATTTCACAATTCAGCATCTTTAGAAAGCTTTTATTTTTTTAAGGATATTAACTCATAGGACCAGAGAAATAAGGTTGAAAACATGGTACCATTGTAATCACTGAGCAATTTTGTTTTGAAGGCCTAAAAGTTTAAGCTGTCTGTACTTCTCAAAAAATGAGGTCTGTAAGAAAAAGAAAATGGGGTGTGTCGAGAAGAGAAAGAACTATATTAATACTGTTCTGAAACAGAACACCTAGTCTCTATTGTGAGGATACTATGGGGCAGGAGAATAATGCTGCCAGTGAAAATTGTGGTGTGAAGAGAGAAAATCATTTGTTGCCCTAAGATAGAAGCTTTTATGCATGTTAACAATTTCGATGGAGAAGCTTCTAAATTGAAAAACACTTGGTATTTCCTAAAATAAACATTTCCAGCAGTAGAAGTGATGTTTGATGCTGAACACATTCTGGTTCCCATTTGCCAGCTCAAAGGTGAAAAGGCTTAAGAGACTAGTGTCTATAGCCTAAGAAATGGTGGATGGGATTGGGTCTAGATTTGAATAAATCTGCTATTTCTCATTTTTGTTGAATTGAAAGTGTCACAATTTTAGAGGGAAATCAGAACATGAACTATGAAAGCCTTGTAATTAGCCCATAGAAATGTATCTCATGATGGCATGATATATTGTTACTTTTTAAAAGAAAGGTAGTATCACTTGTGATAGTTGAAAAATTAAGTCATCTTGAAAGTATTATAGCAGAAATGGGTGATTTGTAGGATTCATATTCAAGCCCTTTCTTGCAGTTAGTTGCAATTTAGCAAAGCTACCATCTGGCAGCTTTTCTTACAGTCTTCTAAAATAGTGTGGTACTCAACTTCTAATAGGCTTGCCACAACAAAACAACAACAGCTCAACTCCCAATATGAGGAGACAAAAAATATAGTCCTACTTTCTAAGGTAACAGTATTGTGCTATACATTCATTCACTCATTTAACTTGTATGACTGCCCAACTCATAATGACTCTTGGAGATATTCAAACACATATAAATCAGTTACCAATCCGTCACAAAATATTATCAAAATAGCAGAAGAAATTGGGAACCAAATACACTAACCAACATATCACTGTGCTTCCTAGAAAGGGACTATCTCATTACTCTGACCCAAGAAAGAACCAGACCATAAGAGTCTTGCAGGAGATCGGAGTCATCTGAATCTTAACGGGAAACCGTCTGGCAGGACAGAATTCTGTTCTCATTCATGACACTCACCATGGCTTGTAGCTCCTCAAAATATTCTTTTGACAGCAAGAACCTATGGGAGAAAAAAGTTATATATGTGCTTTTATATTTCCTTGTTTCTATACTTTTCTGTGAATTTTTTTTTTGAAAAGATGTTCCTGTAATTCTTCAAAAAGAGACATGTGAAAGTGTGCAATATTATGGCATCATTTCAACCAATTCAAGCAAAGATAGTGTTCACCACTAGAATAACCAGGGAGTAGGGGACATGTGTGCATGTGAACATTTCAGTTTCACTCCAAGCTGTTCCTTCCTTTTCTGTTTAGAGATCCTGCCACAAATACCCCACCCCTACAACCTGAACAGCTTGAAGTATTTGTGCATCTGAAAGATTTAACAGGTATGTACAAGAAGATTTCAGGATAGTTTGAGGCGTTGTAATAAGGGCAGTGTACCAGTGCTTGTAATAAATAGCAGCATATCCACTTGGTCCCTGCCTCTGATCAAAGTATTGCTCCTCTGAAATGAAGGCAACATCAATCCTTTAAAGAAGTAACAGTCACAGTTCTCCATTGATTGGACCCATCTTGGTGTTTTCTCAGGGTTTCTATACATTGAATCCTGGCCAGAGACTCTCTTGGACTTGAGCCCTTTCCAGAATCTTCAGGTGATCCGAGGGCGGGCACTTTACAAGTAAGTTGTCTCAAGTGTTTTAATGAAAGTGAGACCTGTGTTAAGTTATCAATGGAAAAGTCCATATCTGAGTAATTTCCATGGGTTCTTTTCTTTTTTTTAAATCACCAATTACTAGATTACCCAGACTTATTTGACCACAAAGTGCTGAAAATTTGGGCAACTGATTAGGTTTTGTATCTTTGCTCAATGGCTGGGGTAAGAGGGAAACTTTTATTATAACAAAGAACATTTAAATTATGAATGCCTACAACTGTTATAGAATAATAAAACTATTTTCTATTTACTGTCTATAAATACTTTTATTTATATTTTAATCTCTCAGAGAATCAGGAGGACAGTCTATCTTCATGACCATATCATGTCTCTAGCTTAGTGGTGTACATTTAACACTAGAAGAAATTGCTATTTCCGTCATTGGAATTTTGCTCATTTTAATTGGGAAATCTGTTTCATATGACAGTGGAGCTTATTCGCTAACACTGCAAAACCTCAACATATCATGGTTGGGCCTACGTTCACTGCAAGAGGTCAGTAGTGGCATGGTCCTTATCCACCACAATCCCAACCTTTGCTTCATCCAAAATGTTCCTTGGGGCGACATCTTCAGAAACCCTCGACAGAAGCTATTCCACAATGACAACAATTCGCCTGAGCAATGTGGTAAGCATGTGCGAAGCCCATTTGCATTAATGTATGTGTGTCCTCCCCCACCCATCATTCTTTGTAGGTGTGAAAATGTCCTCTAAGCCTGATATTTTGGTGGGCTGTTGAAAGGACTTAAAATGGAATCCCATGTGAGATTTTCCTGCAATATTGTGAAGCTCAGAGGAAGAAGTTAGAAGGTTGCTTAGCATATCTTTGGTTTGGGCAGGTTGTAATAGTAAAACCATGGTAAGATGGGAGGCCAATACATTTTATAAATAAATAAATAGATAGTGTAAACATCAAGATAAAACAAGGAAAAAGTAATAGAAATGTTTTGAGCAAGGTCCCATTCAGAGATGAAAAAAGCCATCTGATGATTCTGGTCAAAATATAGTACTAAGCATTTATGATAGTCTTTAGGCAATAATAATGTCCAGAGTAGAAAGCAAATGGTTTCTACCTTATTTTACTTCTAGTAAAGTTCAAAGAGAGAAGCTTAGAAATATTGTCAAAATTTTGGACGAGGTGAACTTTGCTGAGGTGTCATAGGCATATAGCACTTAAGGATAAGCTACTCAGATATCGTTTCAAAGTTGAAGTGACTTCAGAAAAGGCTTTTATTCCTTAAGCTTCCGAGTTCTGTTCCAACCCAGCTAATACCAGTAAGATTAAATTGTGGTTGCTAAGCTTTATGTAAACAATAGTCTACTTCTGAGTAGACTGTTGTGCTTAAAATTCCCATATCATCCAGCATTTCTTGGTCATCTGCTACTCAGCGGTAGCATTTTCCTGACTTGGTTGTGATCCTTCAGATTTTGAGTCCAAGGTCAGGTAAGTGATTCTTTCAGTACCTCTGAGTTGAGGAACAATTCCCCATCTCTTTATTCTCATTCAGTTTTTGCTTGTGTTGGGAAAGACAGCTCATCCTAAGGAATATGGCAGGAGAGTTGTTTGGGACTTATTCTATTTTAGTGTAATAATTTGATAGTATGGAGTGATTTCTCAAAAATGTACTGGAGGAAAAAAATTTCAGGCATAAGATTGATTTACATATGGGTTCATTTTTTTTCATTCAACTAATATCCTTCCCTTTGAACAGCGTACAAGGTGACATATATAGTACTCACTCTTCCTATTTGTCCCCATAGGTACAAGCCTTTGAGGTAGATTCGGCCAAAAGAGCACCTGGCACAAGTCACTCAATGGCTGAAGATAGATTAGAGCAGTGATAGCTAACCTTTTTGTTGTTGCGTGCCGAAACTTTGTGTGTGCCCCCTCACCAATAATACAATGCACGTGCAACCCCCCCTGCACACATGCACATGTAACCCCCTGCCCCCACTCATGCGCACATTACCCTCCATACTCCCCCTGTGCATGTGCGTGCAACCCCCTCCCTGCACCCTGTTTTGGGCCTAGTAGGCCTTTTTACAGCCTCCTGGGAGTAAAAACAGGCTGCCAGGGGGGCATGCCCCCCATGTGCCCCCCAAATCAGCTGGCCGGTGGGAGGTGTGCGCACATGCCCAGTGGAGCTGAGCTGGGGTGACGGCTCATGTGCCCACACAGAGGGCTCTCCATGCCATCTGTGGCACGCTTGCTATATGTTCGCCATCACGGGATTAGAGTCTTTTCCCCACTCCTAGTCTAACACATCATACATCACAGTGATTGTCATAATTTAGGACCTGATGCAAGAATGCAGATTAATTATATTGATTGGTTCCCTGAATATAAAATTATATGCTCCCCAACCTTCCTTTGCCTCTCTTCTTGTCTTTAGATCTCCAAGGCCAAGTTTGTTATTCTCTGTGCTCCCAGGGACATTGTTGGGGACCAGGGAAAACTCAGTGTGTGTCCTGCAGTGGCTTTCTCCGTGGGAAGGAATGCATTGAGAATTGCAATGTTCTGGATGGGTATGTGGCAAGGGGAGATGTGATTGAGTGGCGCTTTTCTGATTCCTTACTGAGAAAATCATAAGGGGGGAGGATTTCAAAAGTATTATTTAGAAGAAATAAGTTTAGAGTGTTGTATTTTAACCTTATCACTGAATATAGAAGTATAAGCTGCTCAAACTGGATACAATAGGAATAGCATATTAGTGTTAATAATAAATAAAATCACAATACAATGTACAAATGTGTTTGATTTCCCTTATCCTGAAACAAAAAGCAAAAATAATATCCTTAAAGTTTCAGTAGGTGGCACTGCGTAGCTTACCTTACAAAGCCAAACAGAATTGGTTCTGATTTATTTGGAGAAGAAATTGACTGGAAAATCTAGAACTAGAAGTTTCAAAAAGAAGGGGAAAAAAACAACTATCATGGGTGGAAGCACTAGCAAACTACTTCATTTTTCATGCTCAGAAAACTGCCTGGGTATTGCATTATAGGTCATCAAGAGTCCTTATACAGAATGGGCTTTTTGCTGAAAAGCACCCAAATAAATTATATGATTGGGGATACTGAAGGGATTTGTATAACCTCTAAAAGATTATAAGTGTAATTTTTCTGTTGAAGAGAAGGTTGGAAATCGTATTTCATAATTTCAGTTTCTTTTTTTCTTTGCACTTTTTCATTTTTTTTCTTTAGATTTATCTTTATTTCAGGTAAAATTCACAACAAATATAAATAAATTAAAAAGGAGTCAGATTTCACTTCATGGCAATTTACAGGTAGTCCTCAACTTATGATCACAATTGAGCTCAGAATTTATGCTGCTAAGTGAGAAATTTATTAAGGGAGTTTTGCCCCATTTTACAACTTTTCTTGCCACATTTGTTAAGCAAACCACTGCCAGTTGTTAAATTAAATTAACACATTGTTAAGTGAATCTGGCTTCCCCATTGACGTTGCTGGTCAGGAGATTGCAAAATATGATCACATGAGCCCGGGACTCTGCAACTGTCATAACTATAAACCAGTAGTCAAGTATCTGAATGTAGATCACATGACCATGGGGATGCTGCAATGGTCATAAGTGTGAAAAATGGTCATTCGTCACTTTTTTCAGTGCTATTGTAACTTCGAACGGTCACTAATCAAACTGTTATAAGTTGAGGACTACATGTACTTTTATCACTGTTGGGATGCTTGATCCTGGGCCATTTCTCACTTTCCATGTCTATTGAAGGTACATGGAAGTAACATCATTTCTCCTCTTTGTCTAAAATACCCATCACCAATGAAATAATTAAATATTTTGAAATCACTCTACCCTGATTATAAAGTTGTTTTTATTTCTAATTCAGTGGATTCCAAATTGAAAAATAAAATAATGTTGTTTGAGAAAACTAGGAAATTGAGAAATTGGACTGTTTAAACTTTGGCTTGATTGGAATTTGCAGGGATATCCGAGAATATGTCAATGGGACACGCTGCTTTACATGTCATCCAGAATGCATGCCCCAAAATGGGACTGAATCTTGCTATGGATCGGTAAGAACACTGAAATATCTTGAAACCACAATCTTGTTCAGATATTATATTGCCTCTTTTTTTGACCCATTAGGTTTTTTTTAAACCTTTTGTGATTGGTTCACAGTGAAAAGAATAAATAACCAGGCCTCCTTTCTGGGGACTAGAAACCTAAAATTGGTGACCTACAATATTCAAGGTCATTGATGCAGTCATAACACTTTTAAGAAAGAAGGCAAGCAATAGTACAGAGCAAACCATCATAGGTTATGTAAGCTAACTTGCGTTAATTTGATTTGGACAACTTCATCTTGAGAGACTGTTACCCTTGAGATTAACTTGCTTTCTAGCAACTCTCTGCAGTATTTACCAGATCCAAAGTATACAACTATGTCCTTCATATGTATGTAATAAATTGTGTAACCACTGCTATTTTTCCTGAGGTAACTTTGCAACATACCCTGTGACTCTAAATTCCTAGATGTCTATCAAACAGATGGTTTTCACTGCTCTGTAGGTTATGTCCATCTAAGGTCACATCAGCAACCAGCTTGTACGACGAAATAACAAGAACATAATTCAATAATGAAACGTATCCAACAAAACTTGGATGAGAGGAAGATTCCCCCCCCCCCGTTTTGTTAAAATGGCCATGCATAGCCTCTAGGAAACTTTTAGACAGTTCCTGGGGGCTGGGGAGGGCAGAAATGAGCAAAAAATCCGCCATTTTTACCCCCCCCCCCTTTTAGGAGGCAGACCAGTGTATAGCTTGTGCCCATTACAAAGATGGACTTTCCTGCGTGGAGCGGTGTCCCAGTGGTGTGAAGCTTGATGGCTCTTTCTTACCTGTCTGGAAGTACCCTGCTGAAGACAATGTCTGTCAGCTCTGTCCAGTCAACTGTACCCTTTCGTGAGTAGTCCAGGGGTGGGAAAATCATAGAGCGAGATACAGCAGGATTCTGACTACGTTTTGACAAAAAATGGACAGTGTAATGCAAAAAAATGTGATCAGGTTTCAGGCTAAAGACATCACAAGAGCAAAATACTCATCACTGATGAAATAATTAATTTTAAAAATTATTTTTTTAAATTTTCTATTTATTACATTTCTTAGTGCTTAATAAGTGCTTAATAAACATTGAGTTTATTGGGTATTACTGGGTATTTAAATTGCTTAACAATTCAAATTTCCTTCTTACTCTCCACCCCTTTTCCCCAATATTGGTAAAATAAGTCCTACATTTGATAATATTCTGTATCTTCTTTCTGTTTGATATTCAATGTAAGTCTATCCATTTCTGCACAATCTAATATCTTCTTAATTATCTCTTCATCTTGCAGTATTTCTTCATTTTTCCAATAGTGTGTGTGAAAATAATCCTCGCTGCTGTTAAGGCATGCAACGTTAAATAGATACTTTTCTTATCAAAATTTTCTGATATTATCCCTAATAAAAACAGTTCAGATTTAAAATCTACACATTTCCCTATGATCTTTTCTATCCATCTGTGTATTTTTTTAGCTTTAACACAAGTCCACCACATACAGTATGATAAAATGTGCCTGTTTTTTTTTAATTACATTTCCAGCATTTGCTAGACATATTTTTTAAACATTTAAGCTAACCTAGCAGGTGGTAAACCCCATCTATAAAACATTTTATATAGATTTTCTTTATAAGAAGTTTACATTGTCAACCTATAGTTTCTTTCCCATAAATTTTGCCATTTCTCTAGTTCTGTTATAGCAAAAAAAATATCCATTGTATCTTTCATTTGTTCATCCTCCATTTTTAAATTTAGTAAGAAGTTATATACCTTCTTAATTAGTTTTTCATAAAAGTTCAACAGTAATTAAATATTTTTAAATCACCTAAGCCTGATTATAAATGAGACTCTTCTTTCATTGATAGGCATTTCCCTTTGTTGCTGAAATTGCGACTAATTAGTTAATCTTTTAAACGGATATTCTCCACTTTTGTTTTTTCAATTTTGGCTCAAACTATTTAAGCATGAGTGGAACAATAAGAAGAGTTTATTTGTTTTTGTTTTTTATGATAATAAAACTTTTAAGTTCTGACTTACACAAATGCATAAATGGAATGAGATAAGAGAGGCCTGAGTTATTTATTGGGTGGCCTTGCTATGGATTTAATGTGGAGGGATGAGCAGAGGAGAGATCTGGACTCTCTTTCAGTCTGCATTCACTTCACTACTGAGATAGCATTGATTGTCCTTGTGAATGACCTCTGGAAGGCTTGGGACAGAGCTGGTGCAACCCTCCTGGTCCTCCTGGATCTCAGTGCCTTTTGTTTCCAAATGGAAAAAAAAATCTCTAAGTTCTTGAACTTACATGAAAATTCTTTTGCTGAGGATTGAAGGAGATTTTTTTAAAAAATGGAATTAAGCAGCAGGAGGGTGATTAGTGTGTTAATTCTGGAAAGTTACAAATGCAATAAGGAGAACAGATTGACTAGAAATAAGATTTTGAAGCTAATTATAAGAATCCTGTGGTTTGTTCAGAATTCTAATAAAATATAAATTTAAAATGTAAAAGTTGGGATACATTAAGAGATGTATCTGCCTTGAAAATACCCCATGTTGAACTATATAGCCTTGTCAAACATGAGCACAGAAAGTATTTTATACCGTATTATATTATAGATTAACTGTTTTATGATAATGTTTATCTAATAATAAAATGTTTTATAAAATTTGCCATATTTGAATTCCACATTGGTCACAGAACCCAGATTTTGAATAAATTAGCTCATTTGAAGTATCTCGTTTCAAAAATTGTTGCCTTATGGTGCACCATTTTCCCCAGCTAAAAGTTACCCAAATGAGAGTTTTAGTAATATATAGATATGATTCTTTTTTCTAGTAGTTTTGAATAGGATTTTCATGATTTGAACTAAATGGCAAAGTTTTAAAGATTTGCTTATAGATAAGATGTGAGAAGAAGAGATTTTTTTATTGTATGTTTAGAAAAAAATATAAGCTATGATGTTAAAATTGAAAGAAAGTGTTAAACTTGTAAAGGAGTTTCTAAAAGGAGATGAAAAGAAAACAGTAAATTAATTTGTGGGAGATTATTTAAAGCTATTAAAGATCAATATTTTGGTATTTTTAGAGGTGTGTGTGTGTGTCTGCATACATGCACACATGAGTTCAAGAGATTTTTCATTAAAATGTTAGAGAAGTAAGGTTACTGTAGCTGTACTTATCTCGATGAAGGAGAAGAACCAATTTCTTTATATATTTTCCCTTCATAGTTCTCCCTTCTTTTTTTTGTCTGCATTTTATTTGTTCTGTTTATATTTTTCTTAGTTTTCATTAGTTTTATCTTTTTATTTTTAAATTTCAATAAAATCATAAAAATACAGTTAAACATGGTATCTTTCTGATACCATGTGGTTGGCTATTCCATTTTATTGGGAATGGGAGATGAGGTTTCTCAAGGACTAGGTTTTTCTCCTTTTTAACATCTATATAAAACTTCTGGATTAAGTAATTCACGGGCATGGAGTGTGGTATTATCAGTATACAACTTCAGCCCTGCTCTGACAGGTGATGTGGTTATGGTGCTGACCAAGCGCCTGGAGGTTATGAGGGTCTGGATGGGGAGGAACTGACTTTGAGTCAACTTTGACAAGACTTAGTGGCTTTATATTTTCAGCCCCCCTCCTTGCCTCCCCCCCCCCGAGTTTGTTAATATGTCATCTTTGACTCTGACAGGGTTGCACTTCTCTGGATTGAGTTGATATGTAATTTGGGGAATCCTCCTGGGATCATGGCTCCTGCTCAAAAGCCAACAGAGATTTAAGCCTTTTCTGAATCACAGTCACTGAGGCCTTGGTCATTTCCTATTTGGATTAATTAATTAATCAATCAACTATATATCTACCTGTCTCCCCCAAAGGAATTATTGCAACATGTTCTACATTGGGCTGCCCTTGAAGGATTACCTGGAAGCTACAACTAGTCCAGAATGCAACAGCATGTGCGGTGTGGCTATGTTACTTCTCTGTTGCAAAATGGCTTCTAGTTTCTTTCTGGGTAAAATTCAAGGTGCTAGTCATTGCAGATCACTGGCTGCCAGCAGTTTGGCAGATCAAATCTCACCAGGCTCAAGGTTGACTCAGCCTTCCATCCTTCCGAAGTGGGTAAAATGAGGACTCAGATTGTTGGGGGCAATAGGCTGACTCTGTAAAACCACTTAAGAGAGGGTTGTAGAGCACTATGAAGCAGTATATAACTCTAAGTGCTACTGCTATTGATATGATCTTTAAAGTCCTACATGGTACAGGATCAAGCTGTTAAAATGATTTTTTTACTGAGATTATCTGTTTGTTCCATTAGATTAGATAGGGGGGGGCTCACTCTAGTCCGTTTCTCTGAAACACTGTCCTCTGTACCCAGTGGGACCTAGGAAGCATACTTTTTCTGAAGCTACCCGTCATATGGAACACATTTACCCCAGGAATCAACAGGCTTCCACTCTCTTGGCCTTCCCGAAGGCCATTAAAATCTGTTCCTTTCCCCAAACACAACTCCCCAGGTGGAGTTGTGAAGCTCACAGAAAATTGTTGGGGCATCAGGTTTTTAATTTAAAAAAAATATTTTTAATGGTTTTAAATTTTTATTGTTTTGAGCCACCCAGAGTTACTTTAAGATGGGTGGTGCTACATATCTTTAAGAAAATAAAATATTAAACTGGAACTGAATTGCAGAAAAGGTTAAAGTGTAACCTGTTCTGTGCTTTGAGAGTTTGTTAATAAGTGAACTTTGAAAATAGTATTTCCTTCCTCTTCAAATTACAGTCTAAACTGGTTTCTTTTATCACTTTTTATTATTGCTGTCTAATTCTATTTCAGGTACAAATAAGTTCTTACCTTAGAGTAAGTAAGAGAGTATGAACATTTATTTTTTATTTCATTGTGGTGCCCAGGCAAAAACTGTAATGAAGCTTGTTATAATATGTACATGGCATATCTCACCAGAAAATTATTTTGCATAAACTCCATTTCGTTTGGTTCTTGCACAACAGCTTTTCCGAACTAGGATTCTGCAAAACCTTAGAGATCAAAGTGAGATTGTGATTGAAATGGAAAAGAATAGCGTGTGTGTATCTGTGTTTGTGTTTAATTGGCACTGTGCAGATGTAGGGTTTATAATCGTGGAATTTTTTTATATCTTGAAACTGCTGCCATCCTGCTTTTTTACTATCATTGCAAACATTGAAAACAAAGTTTGTGTAGGTTAGAAGTGAATTGAACTGGAAGTCCTTTGGATTTTTTGCAAACTTTATGCAAGGATTCTCTGAGATTTGGGAATTGTTTTAAGAGTATTTCCTAAGTAAAAACTTGAGAAAGGCTGCACTAAAGTAAAACTTGGCTAGTGAATGACTGTGTGACATCAGTTTTCTTTTTTCAGATGTGCAGTACGGGATGAATTTGGCTGCCCTGTGGATCAGAAGCCCAGGTATTTTGTGTGTGTGTGTGTGTGTGTGTGTGTGTGTATTATTATTTGCAAAGAAGGAATTTGCAAGTTTAAAGTTTATTGGAAACCCTTTGGGAATATTTTTTTAATTTCTCAGTGTTAGAATGTTGTGGTAGTCATTCATCCAGGCGCTAATCAGGTCCTGTCTGCTTAATTACTGATTCTAGAAAAAAATCAGCCAAGTGCTGCCATTTGCTAAGGCTTAGAAATAATAAACGGGCCCTCAGATTGGATAGTAGGAAGAACCTCAAGACCTTCTAAAGAAAATGTGGCCCCTAAAGTTTGTTCCCTTTCCTCCAAGCTAGGCAAATTAATGGGTTTGATTTGGCAGGCATCAGCTTGATATGTTCAAAGTTTATTTAAAGTAAACATTAAAAATGTTTTACTTGGAGGCAATTAATGGGCTACATTGCTAGAGGAGAATGGTGAGATCTTATTTTGCCTGATAATGTTCAAGAAAGGACATTAGCGGGGGTAGGCCTGCTGTCTCATTACCAATGAATGAAATACCTCTGATGATCCATATATTGATTTGTGTGCAGCTTCATTGTAATTTCAGTATGTCTATAGGCAGTTTGCTCTTTCCCACTGGAGGATAGCATATTATGGAGAGACAGAAATTGGGGAAAGAAAAGTATCTATATTGCAGAAGAGAAGAGGTGGGGGTCTTATGTCTGAGAAGTGCTTAATCTTTCTAACTGTTGTAGAACCAGATGGAGAAACCAATTAATAGCAATATAGCAATAGCAGTAGACTTATATACCGCTTCATAGGGCTTTCAGCCCTCTCTAAGCAGTT